GTGAGCACCCCCAGGCCGGCTTGGAAGCCGCCCCCCCCACGACCTTAGCTGGCCTGTGAAGCAGGCTCGCCAGATGCTTCAGCAGCCTAGCCGGCCTGTGAAGCAGGCTCCCCAGATTCCCCAGCAGCCTAGCCGACCTGTGATGCAGCCTAGCCGACCTGTGATGCAGCCTAGCCGACCTGTCATGCAGCCTAGCCGGCCCGTGAAGCAGCCTTTCCAGCAGCCTACCCGGCCCGTGAAGCAGCCTCCCCCGCAGCCTAGCCGGCCCGTAAATCTGGCTCCCCAGCAGCCTAGCCGACCTGTGAAGCAGCCTCCCCAGCAGCCTACCTGGCCTGTGAAGCAGCCTCCCCAGCAGCCTAGCTGGCATGTGGAGCAGGCTCGCCAGATGCTTCAGCAGCCTAGCCGGCCCGTGAAGCAGCCTCCCCCGCAGCCTAGCCGGCCCGTGAAGCAGCCTTCCCAGCAGCCTACCCGGCCCGTGAAGCAGCCTTCCCAGCAGCCTACCCGGCCTGTGAAGCAGCCTAACTGGCCTGTGAAGCAGGCACCGCAGCAGCCTACCCGGCCCGTGAAGCAGCCTTCCCAGCAGCCTACCCGGCCTGTGAAGCAGCCTAACTGGCCTGTGAAGCAGGCACCGCAGCAGCCTAGCCGACCTGTGAAGCAGCCTAGCCGGCCCGTGAAGCAGCCTTCCCAGCAGCCTACCCGGCCTGTGAAGCAGGTACCGCAGCAGCCTAGCCGACCTGTGATGCAGCCTAGCCGACCTGTGAAGCAGCCTAACTGGCCTGTGAAGCAGCCTAGCCGGCCTGTGAAGCAGGCACCGCAGCAGCCTACCCCGCCTGTGAAGCAGCCTAGCCGGCCCGTGAAGCAGCCTCCCCCGCAGCCTAGCCGGCCCGTGAAGCAGCCTTCCCGGCGGCCTCCCCGGCCTGTGAAGCAGGCTCCCCAGATGCCCCAGCGGCCTAGCCGGCCTGTGAAGCAGGATCCCCAGATGCCCCAGCGGCCTAGCCGGCCTGTGATTCAGGCTCCCCAGATGCTCCAGCAGCCTAGCCGACCTGTGATGCAGCCTAGCCGACCTGTGATGCAGCCTAGCCGACCTGTGATGCAGCCTAGCCGACCTGTGATGCAGCCTAGCCGACCTGTGATGCAGGCTCCCCAGATGCTCCAGCAGCCTAGCCGACCTGTGATGCAGCCTAGCCGACCTGTGATGCAGCCTAGCCGACCTGTGATGCAGCCTAGCCGACCTGTGATGCAGCCTAGCCGACCTGTGATGCAGCCTAGCCGACCTGTGATGCAGCCTAGCCGACCTGTGATGCAGCCTAGCCGGCCCGTAAATCTGGCTCCCCAGATGCCCCAGCAGCCTAGCCGGCCTGTGATGCAACCATCTAGCTGGCTTAATTCTGCGTATTATCATCAAGGGGAAGTACCTGGACATGTTGCTGCACTGCAGATGCAAGGTAGTGTATTTGCATTAACTTAAAAATGTGTTTAAGTTAAATTGTCACTAACCACTTATTTTTTTTATTTTGCAGGCTAATGTTTGAAATGCATAATACAAATAAAAAAAAATGAAATGATCCCGTTTGTGTTCTATTGCCAGTAGCCTGTACCTCAACCTAAAAGCTTTAAACTGACTGTAGCAACATTGAGGGCATTTAAAAAAAAAAAAAAAAAAAAAAAAACTTTGAAGCAGGTCTTCTGTGGTCAAAATGTTTCATCACCAATTCCAGTGCCTCATGAATGCATCAATAAAGGTGGTGTTGGCTTTAATAATAATTGGTATGTGATCAATGTTTAGCTCTAAAGGGACTTTCTTTCAACCCAAATGGAAGTTCATAAACACTACCTCCTGGTCTAGTTTTGTTTGCACTGTGGCTTAAACAAGGGGTGAGTCAATAACTAATCTGTTACAATGGCATTTGCTGATGTCATTAATGGACAGTGGGCATCCTAATTCTTATAACAAATCACCTCTGAAAGACTCTCCATTGATCTTTAATTAGAAGCAGCTGTTAATCACCTTTACGACTCTCCTTGGTGGCACTGTAATGGTTTTGCCAGTGAAGCCACGGCAGCATCAGCAGGATGTGTTTACAGTGTGTGTGTTTATGTACAAAGCACCACTGTTAATGAATCTACTTGTATTTTTGAATATTTTATAACCTTGGCTTCCTTCTTTGTACCCCAGAGTCTTTGCCTATGACTAAAAACAGTTTTAATCTTTTTTTTTTTTTTTTTCAAGCATAGGGACAAACTATGACCCACAAGAGAGAAATGGCAATTACTGCAAGAAAGGTGGCCACTTCACACACCTGTCACAACAGAGATGAACCTGTCATAAAAGACCAGCAGAGAGGGACAAAAGCAATGGAGGTCTCCCTTGGTGCCTCTTCAGCTTTCATAGTCTACCCTCTTTTTCACTTCACCTATTAAAACATGAGGGGGTCAGTCCCCAGAGAACTCCATCCTTTATCACTCACACACACTTACCTCGAACAACTGCCATCCTCCTGCTCACGGTGGCCACATTAGGAACATTATCTTGTTTTGTCTTTATTTACTGTCTCTAATCCCACAGATTTCACAGGTCCCTAGTAACAGGTTTATATCAATTTATATCAATGAAATGGAAGCACATCAGTGATTTTTCTATAAAAGTTTGTACACTCTGGAATAATAGGTATGTGTTTTGGCAATGTATAAAACATTGAGGCAAAAAGTGATTGTTTCACTGACCCCTATTTTTTTTCAGCAACTAGCAATACCACCGTCTAAAATGAATGGGACGGAGGGAAGTTCATTGATTTGTCACATCTTCCTCTGAAGTACAGGTAGGAATTATTTGTCATTTATTTATTCATAGTTGTTGCAATTTCCAGTCCAAAGCTTAATATTGATAGCATATTGATAGTAGTATATAC